TTGTATATATATTTTGCTGCTTAGATACTAGCTGAGGTTAACTGCAACGTTTTCGATGTTCGGTAAATGAGTCAAACTCAGTACTTCCGATCATTTTCCAGTTCATTAAGTTGATGGAGGATAGATATTAAAGCGCAACTTTTATCAAATATTTCATTTCAAAATTTTTGTTAATCATCCACTTTGTCATAATACGTTACACTGGAGATGTTCATATCAAACGGTTTTAAGTAGCTGTTGGCACTTGGATTCAAACTTGTAATAACGATTATACTCTAACATAGATCACTCATCTATTAAAAAAACACAACAACGTCGAAACTCCCGGCTACCGTGGATTCACTGAACATTGAAAACACAGTAGATAACTCTAGCCTTCGATGATACTTCATGTTCATTCAGTAGTGATTATTAAATTTGTTCTGTAGACCCCATGATAACCCAAACTAGAATATATTGTTTGCAATAAAAGTATTTGAAAGTGAATACGTTTCTAGCTGTTAAGCATGTTTTAAATCAAAATGTTTATAACCGATTCCTAACCAGTGGTTAGGAACTTTGTATGAGATGGCTCAAAGTCGTTTGCAATGACGCAGGTACATCAATTCTTTGTTATCCTCCAAATTTCTAAGCTTCCGAATTCCTCATAATTCCACTAGTTCATATTTTTTTAAAATCGTATCTTCGATGTCTACTACTTTCTATCGACACTCATACGGTGACTAACTCTAACAATTTCACCTCTCAGTGCAAATGGAAACGTTGAGTTGATATAAATTATAGTCTTTGGTTAATAAATATAAAATAATGCAGTGATAATACTCATTTGTCAGGTGTTTGGAGGTAATCGACAGGAAATCCTAGACCTAGGTTTAGCGCTCATCAGTAATGTTTACCTATAACCTTGAGGAAATTGATGCGTTTTAGAGGATTTGAGCCTGTACTATCCAGCTTTACAGTCTGAGACATTACCAGTGCAACGATTGATCTCCCATAGGACTGACATGCATTCACAATTGTTATCACAATGTTATTCTATCATATTCTTGCAATTTCACCGATAGAATTCCCTCACACTATAAGACCTGGAAAACAGAAGATTGAACACAACTCAATGGACAAGTAGTTGCAAACAACATTCGTGTATTTGATCATCGTCTCTGCCAAAGACTGTATTATATATAACTTCAATTGATATGAAACTTGAATTGAATATAAAGTGAAAATTATGAAAAACAAGGTATGTTGCTCATAGATAAGTGATGAAATCAGACGTGATTTGACATTTTCTCCTGTACTGCGTTATCAAAATTATATCAGAAGGGGTCTTATGGATATTATAGTAATTTTAATACTTGAGATCATTAGTCAATTGAAGCTAGACCACCATGGAAAACCTGGAAGCACTGGACGACCGTTTAGTCCAACTGTGGGAAGATGATAACGGATTCTAATGACAGTAATGAAATGTGTAAAGTTCGAGTAAATGTCCAAGTGGTCATAGAAATAAATCATTTATCAGATATGTCATTAGATTATTTCTACACTATGTATGCATTGAAAACCATGAACAGTGAATCATTGAAAAATTATTGCATTTCACATCAGTATAATAATAGAGGAAGATAAGAGTTAAATAATATACGGGTTGCCCCTTCCAGCCAAACAAGTTGGTGAAGCCTAGTAGGCCCTTCTGGAGAGAAACAGGCCACATCGAAGCACAGCACAACTACCGGGGCTAGAATAGCTTTTTTTGCAACCGGTTGGAGTTTACCCCGTACATTGCATGCACCACTTTTGTCAATTTTTTGTCGTTTTTCCATTCAAAAGTAATTGTGCTGTAATTCTTTGTGGATTTCGTAAAAGGTTTGAGAGTATCGGTCGAGTGGGTGATTAGCTCGATCTCTACCATCCGGGTTACGGCTCACGTTAGTTTACGGGCCATCCGTCCCACTATCAAAGAGGCACGACGCGGACGTGTGAGTTGGGTTTTGCATGTCTAATAGTGTACAGGAGAAAATAATAATGATATCAGACAAGAAGGAAAGCTAAACATAAGAAATACTGTTCATAAATAATAAATGAGATTGTAGATTAACAAAGCATAAACTAATGAATACATTAAAATTTAGAGGAACATAAAACCAGTGAATGTAAATCAACCATAGCATTCTCAATATATGCAGTTGTAGATTGTAGTAGCCCAAATAACAAATTTTACTTTTCTAATTCATTGAACCTACTTGGATTCTATTTACTATAAAGACTGAGAATGATACTTAAACCGAATTCATTTATTTAACAGATTCTCAAAACAATCTCAAGTTTTAGTTGTCAAGGTTTTATATTTTTCCCGTTGTTGATTTTATAAACTACAATTATTCATCTACTTATGTCCGAATATGTCCAACTGATAAATCCCGAATCGAACGAAACGTGAACACTGGATTTTACTGCTGGCAACTATTCAACTTTAATAAACGTTTAAAGTTTGATTAATTGAAAGTCGATGTAGACAAATCATTAGTAAGTTAAATATTCAAAGAGCAGTCAATAAGTAATTTCTATTGAATAAATATTATTATGGTTGACAGAAACGTTATTCAAGTTAGTTGTTGATACTGATACACACTACTCTATTCATGAGTCCGGCGTAGATGCTTAGGAGTGCAATTGATCAGTCTCTTATTGGCATAAGTAAACCTTGTGCGGATTGTCTCGATATTGCCTTAAGTCACAAGCTTTATAAGCAAAGATGGATAGTGGCTAGCAGTGAATTCTAGGATGCATGTTTCGTCCTATTAGTTAAATGATGTGTAAATATCATGTAATGGTAAACAATAAACAAGTAAATACTCACTTTAATGAACTAATTTTATTTATGGTATGAAAATATATTTGAGACTTCAGAACATGAAAATAAATAAGTACTTTTGAAAAGGTAAAATTTTCCAATATTAATTAATAGTTAAACAAAGTGGCTTCCTAAGAATCAGTATGAAAAGATATTAGTATGGAGAATTAGCAGTTGATATCACATGCTAATGTTATTTAGACCACTATTGAATACCTGGAGGCACTGGACGGCCACTTTTCCTAGTATGAGACTCTTCAGCATTGTGCAATCACGACCCCACACACGCGGTGATCGAACCCAGGTCATGCACAGGAGCGTTTAAGCTCTAAGTTCGCATCCAACCGTGTTAATATCTATATTCAATCAATTCACGACATTCCGCAACTATTCTTCATGGTCTTCAATGAGTAACTATCTCACGTCCGACACGGATTAGCTTCAATGTCATGGCTTAGTACTAGAACTCCGGGAACTTTCGAAGCTAGTCACTAGTCATCACATGATAATCAGATATATCACTGATCCAATTGTCACTCGATTAACAAAGAGCAAACTTATTTTGATAGAATAAAATATTCCACTTTATCAACTTAAGTTTCAGGCAAAACTCGAAGTAAAACTACATCCAGAATAAAAGTGTAGAGTGGTAGTTTACCTATTCAAACATTCAACTCTTTAGAATTATACAGTCGAAACTAGTTGTATCAAATTTAGTTTAGTTAAGCACCAGTGTCGTCTTTATTGCTGTGTGTATAAATTAATATAATGCTATCAAATGACAACGTTAAGTGTGCTGTCCAGTTGTTTAAACCGAATCAAATACAGTGGAGTTCGAACTGGTAACTTAGTGGCTGAAATTTGAATGCCTAAACCACTACTAAACCATCGATCGAATTATATCACTATCCATTAATTTCGTTACGTATGATTGTAATGAATAAGCTAACTGAATATTTAATCAATGTTACCGATTTTAAACTGTATATATCTTATAGAGAATGAATAATTAATTTTCAATTATTAATTGTTTTTCTATTACTAATCCATACCTTTTAAATAATCACTAAGTTACTTAAATGGTATTTCATTGTTAATTTTACTAAGATTTAATTGAATAATCTTCTTTTTTTTTAAATGTTATAATAAGCCACATAGAATACTGACAAAAAGCCTATAGTAACTAGTCGTAACCTAATTAGTATGCATACAACCATGGTTACAATGAAAATTAGAAAAAAAACTGGACAAACTTGAAGAGAAAAAAGAAAGAAAAAGAAATACCATCTTCCTTGTTCTGTGAACATCAAGTTAAAAGTTTTATTTCAGAAGTCATAAATTTACACTAATTGACTACTCACTGTATATTAACTAATATCATATTGAATTAATCTTTAATCATCAACAAAACGGATTGAATTATTACAAGAAATGGTTATCGCGACTGAAACACTTCAATAGGTGATTAAAATCCCATAAGAAATATCAGTTACCCGAATATTGTAAATATGTCTAGCTGAAAAACTGCAACTAGAATAAAACCTCAGTTTAGGTTATTCTGTTCATTATTTATAATCAGTCCCACTGATAGGCACTATTCGAAGTATAATCAATCCGTAGGTATAGTCAATATTGAGGTATCAGTTTAAGAATACATATAGTTCAACAGAAATTGATCAATCAAATGATGACCTGGTTCTAAATATCATAAACAATGATAAGTACAAACGTCCACAATTAATAGTCGACTTTGTAAAACTGTCAAGTATTGACTATTCGTAAAATATATATGTATATGGAAAATAAATAAAATGAAGACTATGCAACCCAATCACTATCGCCAAGATAAGTCAAGAAAAATGGAGAAGTAGAGATGGCTTATTATTATTTTTTACAGCTAGCTGGTCACTGAATAATGACTAATATCATATTCTTTTAGAGTTGACTGAGTTCAATCGATCATTTTAGAATATGACCAATAGTCTAAATGTTTCGACATCTCCTGTACTATATAGTGTGATACCAGATAGTTACAGGAAGTAAATAGGAAACCTATTCAGTGATCAATTCATCAAAAACTTATTCAATCAAGTTAAACTCCAGTTGAGTACACATCGAATAAACTGTAAGTAAGCATAGTAAACAATTCAATGGAACTAAATCTTTTCACAACTCTATTTATCATAAAAAAAATCAAAATGTTCAGTACATGAATTGTATGTGACTAGCTTGATGTAAAACAAAGAAAAAAATAATACAAACACACTAATCTCCCATACAAAATCATAAGACAAGTTTGTTTTCTTTTAATCCCATCAAATTGAATTATTGTTCTAGGTCAGTTTTTTTTTCTTCAAATTATGAAACAATAAAAATAACCAACTATATTCAATGATCAATCTTTATTTAAAGAATGTTCAGTATTGAAATTTGTTTGTTTATTTTGACATTATGAAAATAACAAAAAAAAATGTCATGGACTAAGGTTATAAAAATAAACAGTAATAAGGTTATACGAAAGAAAAAAAAATAGTTCACTGTGAAACACTTAAATATTATTGTCTATACACAGTTACATTATTGATATTCTTCATGTGTCTTCCAGTGCTCACTTAAGAGAAAGCGAAGGGGGAAAATGGGGGAAACAACAACAACAAAAAAAGGCTGTCAAACTGACAATATAAAAATTTTTTTTAGTTTTCTGAAAAATGGTTCATGATTTTTTGAATAATATCTGATTTTTTACTGGCTGAAATTTTGAGACCAAGTGATTTGATTGTTTCACGTAATACAGGTATTGTATATTTGTGTAGACTATCTGATTGAACAGCTTCTTTACATTCTATCTCAGATAAACAACATTTTGTTTCTTGATTACAAGTGGATTGTGTAGGACGAGGTTTCTGTATTTGTAGGAGAAAATAAAATAAATACGATGAATAATATTAATAACAAGTAACTGTAAACTTAATACAACTTAGTAAGTTCATGTAGAGATAATCAGCTTTCAGTTCAACTTACTATGTAAGAATAAGAGATATTACCTTGGTTTCTCATAACTAAGTAATTGGAGACGGGTTTAAATATGTGTTAATAGACTATTGTTATTGGATCACTTTTACATGATACATACAAAAATGGTGGTTTGAAGCCCGAAAACAGCAACATTTTTACCAATAATACAAACAAACCTTGCATATATCCTAAGCACCACATAGATTATAATAGTGATAGCTTTAAATCATATAAAGTCATCAAATAAAGTAAAGCGTATTATCAAAACTGGTTACCAACTAGTACCTCGTAAAGAAATCTAAATAGTTCAGATATAAATTAAAAATACTTTTATTGAGCCGTACATAAACGGTGTTATGCATTAAACAATTGATATACTATAAATATCTTTCACAGAAACATTACTACAATATATGTCTAATTTGATAGTTTTAGTCAATTAACTCATTTGCGAATACTGTATATTGTGAATTACCGCAAAATGAATGGCGTTGAAATTATACCATTACATGCTAAATCAGTAATTCCAAAAGTTATGTGTTCACCGTTAAACTTGAAAGTTATGCATTTAACCACTGGAGAGTCATAAGTCGGCAGTGTTGCGGAGTCCCATACTACAACAAAACAGCTAAAAAAATGTTCCTTAGTTTCCAACAAATTTGTAATATCCTCACACTATCTAATATTCAAGAATGAATTTGATCTTCTTCACAAACTAATGTTTGTTAATAGATCAACAATAAATGAGATCTTATGAATTCAGCTAACTGACTTGGTATTTTAAATAAAAGAACAAATCGGTTACACGTTTATAATAACAAATTATTAACGTATAGTGAGCGTTATGTAACTGGAATTGAATTTGAATGATAGCTAGTTTGTATATTGATGAGTTTCTCACATATTTCAATATTCTAATTAAGTGATGACATAATTTACTGATCTCTTGTAGAATAATTAATGAATATGTATCCTACTGATCAAAAACGGTCAATTACTTCGAAATGTGTTAATCAATTATGGAGAGATGTCTTAGTTCGGTACTTAACAAGACTGTCAAATAACTATGGTGTACGGTGGCGTGACTTGATGGATTGGTTATAGATTAACACCGTTGGATGCCGGTTCATTGGTCTAATGGTTAAGCGTTCGCGCGCGAGACTGATAGGTCCTCGGTTCGGATCTCGCAGGGAGAGGGATCGTGGATGCGCACTGCGCACTGTCCCATACTAGGACGAAACGGCCGTCCAGTGCTTTCACATTTTCTATGGTGGTCTAGCTTCAATTGACTTATGATTCCAACTTTTAAAATTTCTATTTAAAAAATCTCCACAAAACCCCTTTTAATAACTATAAAATAAATAATCTTTCCAATAAAGTTTCCTTATAGGTATCATTACCAAGGTTTGATTTGATAATTTTGAATAAATTGAGCATTGATTAGATTGTTATAAATAAATAAATAATACATTTGTAATACCCCAATGAGTAGAAAAATTAGGTTTTCTGACGTTTCGTGACTTAGTGTAAGTCACTTCTTCAGAGAATAAATAACCAAATTAAAATTGTTCCGTTAAAAGTTTCCTTATGTTGACAAATAACAGTTTATGATTGAAGATTAGTTTTAGCGAAATGTATAAAAACAGTGTAAATGATTAGATAAATAATTAAATTTTAAGGCTTAATAAAACATTCTAGGACTGTCGAAACGTCATTAAGTAGGACAGGATTCAAATTCATATACTTCTACGTTGACTGGCTAACCAAAAGATGTTTCTAAATTAATATAACCAAGGTAACTCCTTAAAAAACACTTAGACGTATATACAGCTTTCAAGTTACACTTTTACATACAACTAGTAATATTATTCGCTGTTTACATCTGTATGGTCGGCGGCCTATCCCTTATGAGAAGTAACAAGTAAGTAAGCCCAAGTTGTAATCCAGTAAGTGGAAAGTCAAGTCCTTTAGCTAGTACGAAGTCAATATTTCAAAATTCATGAAACTAAGGGTAAATTAAGGGCTTAATATTTTAAATGTGATATTCTTCATGAACTGACTTCATTTAAAGCGTCATTGAAAACCAGGAAGTACTGGAAAGTTGTTTCGTTCTAGTATGGAACACATTTCATAAGTAACCAATCCATGACTCCATACATAAATGGAATCCACGACATTCAGGTTTCGCAGAGAACGCTTGATCTTTAAAATCACTGAACTGATTAATAATTCAAATGATATATATTTCCAACTTTGATCAATTTTCATTCTTATTGACTCACAAAAATCTATTACTACTGAATGCCAAATATAGATTTTTTTCTTTACACTTTACTTTACTCACTTTGAATATACTCTCGTTATTTAAATTGAAACATTCTTTGAATGCTGTAATTTCTTCACTGGCTCTTCTTTTGATAGCTCCAAATTTAGGTACTAAAATGATGATATTTTTTTGTCAAACAAACAAAACGATCGAATTTTAATGTTTTTATCACCAACAAAAAATAGAAGAGAAACAACATTAAAATGTTAAAACAGAAGAAAACGAGTAAAAGTAGAATAAAGTGATTTATCGAATTTCCTGTTTTTTGTAGTTAACATCACAGAATGATAATGGTTAAAAAACTATTGAAAAATAAGTATATGTGTGAGCAAATTGTTCAGGATGTTTGACGTAAATACATCACATTTTTCACATTGACTCTTTCTCATCGTTCTATCGAAATTTATAAAAGGGACTAATTGAAAGTATTGAACAGCTGTTTTGTTCTTGCATAAGACTCCTTAGTAATGTACATTCACAACCGCGACAATAGGGATTGAATCTAGGACCTCTATTCATGACTTCCAAACAACTGAAGCAGTATCTAATTCCATAAATTTGTAATATTAGTACCCTTTCCTCTAGCAAATAATTATGCCCAACCAGTGACTAATTTTGAGAAGTTATTTTGAAACTTTAATGAGAATCTATACCCACTGATGTTTCACCATGTCGATTGTGGGTCAGTCATCCATCAAGTATATTGGAAAATGATTGCTTGATACTATGAATTGAGGTAATTAACAGTATGAGTTTGTGGAGATTGTTGAGTTTCAATCAAATCATCAACCGGTCAATGTTAGGCCATCACTGAAAACCTGCAAACACTGGACCTCCATTTGTCTGACTAAAGTTAGACACTAACACCGTTAGATGTCAGTTTAGTGTTCTACAGGTCACGTGTTACTGGACGAAACTGAAGATCCTGAACTCGATTCCCGTGTGTAGGGTAGTGGATGCTCACTGCCGGGAAGTCCTCTAGTAGACCTATATCTGACTCCAGTTAAATCACATGATGACTGTTGTCGAAATATACTTACCGCCAACCTTCATATATACTTTATCGACTTAATTTGCGCTAGAGAATAACGGGATAAAATAAGCCAAATACAAGGATGAATTTTGAATACACATATCTCATACACTAATTGATCCAGACAGACATTATGAGAAACGAAGTGAAGGGAGTAAAACAAAACGAAGTGACGGGCAGTGGAGAAGGCGAGCGAGTCAACGCGACTTAATCAAGCGTGACTTGATATTTATATTCAAGCAAAGATAAGTTATAGATATGCGATGAATAGGTCAAGCAATTAACACAAGTACGATCATATAAAAACAGTTGGGGCTAATAAGCAAATAACCAAAAAGGTTAAAATGTGGCTTGAGATGAATGAATAAATTGGTCTTTCCAAAAGCTAGAATGATTTATGTGGGCTTGACTTAGTGACAGCCACTACGGCCCCATACTAGGACGAAAAGGCTGTCTAGATTATTCAGGTTTTCAATGATGTCCTAACGATGGTCGGTTCATGATTTCAATGAAACCGATGCGATTGAGAGATCCAAACCGTTAGGACCCAATTCAGTGATCTAGGAGTTGAGAATTCGCATGAGATCAGAAGTCGAAGGTTTAACCCCAGGTGCTACGACCATGTATCTGCACTGCTGTGGAACCCCCTATCAGGACGACACTAATTCCCAATACTCCCAGGATTTCAATAGTTGTTTAACACTTTGTTTCGCTTCCAAAGGGAGACAGGGGACACTATTGAGGGGCTGGGGGAGAAAGCACTGGTTGGGGCAGTCTGGTGCTAGGTTACGTCGAGTAGAGTGTTCTAACGGGGCGGTGTTGGCTGTAGCAATCACTGTCGATGGAGGAGAGTAGTGGGACGTGTGGCTATTGGACAGACATCGTATGTAGATGGCTCGGCAGGTCGCAATATTTACAGTTGATTGACCACTGAGTAGTGAGCAATGTCAAACTTGTGTAGTCTTTAACGGCTGTTAGTGTTGAACAATGTAAAACAACAAAAACTTTCAATAACCTACAAGTATGATCAACAACTTCCGGTTGAGTCTCACGATTAAGAGCTAATGCTTCAAGAAGTGAATAAAACCGTTGTAATGTTGGATTTTCAATTTGTCCAGGAGTAAATGGTACCATAAGTTTACGTATCATCGCCTTAGCAATATCCACTTGAGATTCGTTAGCTAAAAACATTTTTAAGAAAAATCCCAAAGTAGTTAAACTGTCAACACTATCAATCGTAATAGAAAACATTAGATATGAAATTATGATTGAAGAAGAATAAATGAATTTGAAGGATAGAAAGTATAAGATGATTTCCATACTCAAGATCTAGGTGATCTAGGTATTGATACCTCAATGATGTGTCTGTCAATAAAGATAATGCCTTGATTTACACAACTTAACTGTTGATTGACTATAAGATTTAAATCCAGACAAATTATTATGAAACGATGTATCTTGGTACATTTTCCTTCGAATTAAAATATAGTTCTTTTTCACTGCTCATATTCTATAGACTGTGATTTCTTGTAGAATTTTTTAGATTCAATCAAACAACACAGTCTTGAAAATGTTCCCCTGAAAAAAATACCACTAAAGCAGTACTACAAAATCTGTGTCAACAGAGAAGGGTCTAGATCTAAGACGTACTGGTTGAAAACCTTTTTCCTATGACTAGTATATAAGTCTGAAATTAACTTAGTGAATTGCACTATTTATCATTAGTTAATCAGTTACGCAAAATGAATCGAATTTGAAATTCTATAATTAAAACAAATAATAATGACAATAATTGTACCGAGTTCATTCGTTGGAATTTCAATATCACGAAAATCATCAGCGTAAGGTAAAAATATAATATGAAATCCGGGTGGTATTGTTTGAGTTCTATTAGCATCGCCACCGTCATCATCATCATCATTTATCTGTTCGGCCTAGATAAATAAAGTAGACAGGAATCATTTAATATGTCAGTTGAATATTATGTATGAAATTTATCATGGCCCGATATAAACTGGGAAAAAAGTGACAGCCAAAAAGCACTAAATAGTTGTTTAGGAATTCATTAACAGTGTCTAATGACAATGCTCCTTTTCTCAAGTGGGAATGGAACTAGATACTTCAAATTTTATACTTTAATATCACTTAGACAAGATACAATAGTAGATATTTGGTGTCTCTTGTACCAATGTTTATGTATTAACATAAATGAATAGATAACCAAAGTGGTTTTAATGAATCCGAAACCCAAATGATCACCCATATTTTATGAATAAAAAACGTTTGGTAAATATATTTTTTTACATAATCATTAAAAAGGATTCCAAAGAGGAATAATACACGCATGTTAGTATGAACTAAGTATAGCACTATATTAGATTAATACTTAAACGATCTGATTTCTAAGAACGAGGTCCCAAGTTCAAACCTTATTTACTACTGTTAACTTTAGTTTAAGAGTCTCCTCAGTATCGCTAAACTTAACACATATTATTTTCAAAATGACTAGTAGTTCTTCAATCCATATAAATTAATTAGGATTTTCATATGAAGTACCTGTAGGTATTGCATGTGGTTTATACCTTCTATATGCAAAGTACCTTCAAAAGACTGGTAGGACCCTGCGTCTGAACTGACCCTTGGTAATGAATAGGTAGAAGCAGTCAAGAAATTCGTATACTTAGGTAGTTGTATAGCTCATGGCGGTAATGTGATCAATTCACGTATGTTGAAAGTAAGATAAGCTTATGCCAACCTGTGTTGTCTTTGGCATATTCATGATATTAATTTGTTTGACTGCAATGTCAACTCATTTAGACCTTGAAACTTATTGGTTATTTGAATTCGATTGGTACTAAAGGATTAAATACACATCACATTAAGCATAGAACAAACAAAAATCACATTGCTACATCTATATTTCAATATTGAAACAAAAAGCCGACAATTTAAATAGTTTCTTTGAACTAAGAATGTAAACTGTTTTGTTTTTACGACGAAAAAAAGATTTAACATTAGATAGAACTCATCATAAATGATAGAAAATAGGCTGAAAACACAATCAAATCCTGAGTCGCCACTAATGTATGCGACCCCGCAAATCCTTTTAATGCTTCGTTTTCGGGTTTTGATTTCATATAGCCTAACAAACAGTGGATGAAAGTGAAGACCAAGTAACGTTCTTAATGCGTCATAGTGATTGCCATGTGAAGTATTAGGCTTATACTTCTGGGGAATTCAAAAGAGCAGAAAAAATAACTGACTAGTACTTTCCAGCTTTTGATACCTCATCAGATGAAATCAGTCCATTATGACAACAGTATCCACAGACTCCTACCTTAAAAAGTAATTATGGTATAGGTATACAATAAACTTTACATTTCTTTGGAACAAGAAAATAAACAGCAATATAAATTAAAAACTAAAACCGAATAGAATACCTGAGGAAGTAGTGCAACAAGACGAGGAAATTGACCTTTACGTTGAACATATATAGCTATGGCTAATAATTTTCGATGTAAACATCGATTTAATAAAGCGGTAAACCATAAACGACTCCCATGAATTAATTTTTCATCAGGATAAATAAAATGTGCTGGACGAATGTAATAATATCGTTTTAAAAATTTCTGTGATATAAAACCTAATAGGTGTAAACCTAAAAGAAATGAAATTACGAAATGAATAGAAAGAAAATTATTTATAGTTGAAACCTACTTTGCTAGAATAATGGTTTGACAGTTAAAAAAGACACTAGACAATCATAACCACTGAGTTAATTGATTGATATCAGGCTTCATCAATTTCACTTTAGAGCAACTGGGTTGTGAAACTGAATGACTCGAGTTCGAATCTCGTACGGGTCACCATTTCTCTTCAAGATTACAAGTGTACATTGCTGATGAGTGCCAACTAGCACGAAACCTATAGCTTTTAGGATAGAAACTAATATCTCTACTTTGTATTATGTAATTATTAAGTGACTGGTATATGAGATGCATATATTGTCTTAATTAGAAGCTTTTAATTAACGTATTAACTTTTGATACATGTCTTATTGTTAATTAATTATGCACACATTGTCCAGTTTTTGTATCATGTATGACTCCAAGTTATGTAAAAAAAATTTGATTTATTTGAAATGGATTGAGATCAAGTAATTGACGTACATAATCCTATGAGTTTTTAAAGTCGTATAAATGGTAAGCATATGGACTTGTCGTCTTAGTTTTCTGACTAGTTATATGAGGTAGAAAGGAATTGCGTTTAGTCAAAAGGAATCAGGGAATTCAGTCGTTATGTGTGGTCGGTTGTTATTGGTCAAAAAGGTCATTGGCCTAATTAAAGAAACTTGGTCAATAGCTTGATCAACAGAGCCAAAATTATCTGTTGAAGCGGAATCAAGATTTATTTGTGATTTATTAAGTGAATGCGGATACCCATCAAAACTTCTGAAGAAATATAAGTCTAAAACTTAGTTTGAATTAAAATTACCGACGGTATCAAAAAAGCCTTTATTCGTAAAATTGCATTACAAAGGTTATAATGCCAGCAAAATAATAATTCGATGTATAAGAAAAGACGTCGAAAATACACTTAATGCAGCAAGGTTATGCCCATTTTCCTTTCACCGGCGAATAGTGAGCTCACAAAATAAAGATAAATTGCCTAATTCCCCCGCCTTTATGTGCAACTACCATTTCAATGTGCATGTGGGTTTCAGAATCTCGAGTGAACAAATGGCGTACGGACCTATCATTGGTGACCAGCTACCATGAGACCACATCTCCTAATGGTGTTCCATTATCTTGTAGTTTAGACCTCTGGGTCAAAGGTTCGAGGAGTGGTCTATTAATCAAACAACCTACTTTGGTTTGGGCACCTGGGCAGCATCCTAACCTATAGACAGATTCAATAGTCTATGTGGTGCATATATATTTTAATGTCCCTCGATACCAATATTTATGTGCTATATATAAATAAATGAATCTGATTAGTTTCCCAAAATCTTGACAATTGCATTTCTAATCTACGATCAAGAGTAATACACATTTGTACATCTGTGTCCTACAAGTCATTAATAGATGTAGCATAAACTGAATGAAACAATCGAAAATAAAAAATTTTTTAAAAACAACTCTTTTCCCTGAACCCCTCTATATCTTACATACACACATACTTTCTTGTTTTACGTCTCAATAAGCGTTTTCCGGTTACATAAATTAGAACATTGTAACTTAATCATATCTGTCAGTTAAACAATAATAATAATAATACCCCTTTATAAACATTTTCAATATTTAACTTTATCCTTGTCAAAGACTATTTTTAAGGTTCAATAATGACTATCAAAAACATAGTTCAGTTGCTATAAAGTTACAATCTATATATAATAGAATTTAATTGGATTAAAATATAAGTTGTTTAAATCATATTCCATCTCTATTCCATCCCAAAATTGAATATTACCCTTTATTTGTGAACAATAAGAATAAATTGACAATTGAATGAAAACAAAATGTTGTTTTGTTTTGTCATATATACCCACTCTTAAATATGAATATAGACGTTCCTAAGAAGAGTAATTCATTTTAATGGGACATTCCTATCAGAACAATGAAAATACCAAGTGAATTAAACTTCACCTCATTGCACAAGCAAGTGGCTATCAGGACTCAATAGCTAAGTGGATAACGCGATGGTGTTTGAAGCGAAGGGTACTGAGTTCGAATCCCAGAGTGAACATCAACTCTGAGACGCAGGTATATCCAGCTGACGAGTCCCAAACAGGACGAAAAGCGCGTCCTGGATTCCACTGTTAGCCACTATTCATCTTTGCTTATAATGAAAATGTCAGTTGAAAAAGAGATTTAAGAAAGTACTCCGGTGAGCTAAAAAAAGATTGACTTCTTAGTAAATTAGAAAATTCAGAAGATAACAAGTGAGGAGTCCTGAAAGAAACATTTGATATCTAACGACTAAATTTGTACAAAAACTGAAACTTTATTAAACTCTATGACATGAAATACGAAGTTCATTGTAGTTTTTACAATGAAATTATCATATTTAAAAAAATTTACATGTATAATCCTTTTTACATTATTAATAACTCATTTACACGGCATGAATTTGTGTACATGGGTATGAGACGCATTCTGAGTGTGAAAGCTAATGAAGCTGTTTGGTAGGCTAAACTTAAATAGGATGAGAGAGATTTGAACTGGCAACTTAGTGATTGAAGTCAAAAATCTTAAACACCACCGACTCATCATGATATGGCAAACCATATCCTCAACAAACTAAATCTGGATAAAGAACACCCTAACTCGAACTTGCAACTAGATTACTTAGTTGATACAGTCAGTCTGGGACGACAAGAACAGTGCAGAAGAAGTGATAACCGGACCCCAAGAAGATCACCAAGAAAACGACATTTTCTTCAACGCCTTCAGTTGAATCCAAGGAGCAAGACTCATTTTCCAGGAGGGAAAGATGATGTATCAAGCCAATGAGAAGTAGCCTAATGAGATGGTCAGTCGATAGCAATAAGTAGTGACTTAAAAGAAAAGTGCATTTCATTGGCTAAACGCGTAGCACATCGTGTATCAGAACTCGATTTCGGACACCGCCCGTCACACTACACCGCTCTACGTAACTCCTTTTAATAAACCATGAATCATAATCTAAACACTGAAATGAACACTGATTATCACCAATGTCATTCTTTGATTCGTAAACCAGAATTATGTATAAACATACACCCCACGGGTTTAATTAAGTGCTTTGAGTGAGAAGTGAACCTAATAATATGATTGCATTACTAAATAAATGGAAGTTGGATTTAAAGAGAATTTTCGAATTATTGCAATGATTTCGTGTAAAGCAAAAGCATTAGTGACCCAAAACAACATCCTAAATGTAACTGTCGTGAGGTTAACATCAAGGTCAAACGAAATAACATGAAATGAATGATCATTAATCGGCGAATACAATAATTTTGTCCCTCACAATCACTAACATCAAATAGTCTATGATTTACAACAGTTGTCCAAAGTTAAAATCTGTTAATGATGAATGAACAATCTGCATAAACTTATTATGTTTAACAATTAGACCGTTATTATTCTTATTTTTACAATTCTGGCATAGAAAAATTAAGTAAATTCAATAAACCGCAATCAAATAGGGAAAATAATCGACCACTGATATGTATGTGGTGTGGCTGAATATAACTAAAAGCATTGAACAATGACAATCGAACAGTTTGAATGACTGAAAATAATTAATGTAATTGAGAAAGAAAGATTGATAACAAAATTTTCATTGGTCATATTAATAGCAAACAAATACAACAAACATGAGTCAGTGTCTGTTCTTAATATCTGGAAAATATGAAATGCATAAAAGAAGACTGAAACTAATAAAAACTATACTTGTAAGTTAAATTCATGAACCATTGATCTTATTGGGCGTATCACTGGAATCCAGAGAGCATTCGACAGTCATTTCGTCCTACTATGAGGTTTCTCAATAATGTACGCACACAATCCAATTAGAAATCGAACCCAGGACTGTCAGATCTTTCAACAAACACTCAATCAGTAGAACTACTGAGTAGAGGCCCAATAGTACACATTTTCAACTTCAATAAATTTACGAAATAACGTGACGGTTATCTAATGCCATTGGTGACAACTATTTCATGCCCAATATATTTGGACTCCACCAGTCACAGATGCACACGACAAAATGAAAAACATCATAGAGTAAGTTACTAATACGAACTAACTATCATAGTTTATCAGTATAATGTTGCGAAGACAGTTGAGTTTCATTGAAATAATGAACCGATCTAACTTAAACCACCATTGAAAACCTGGAAGCACTGAACGGCTGTTTCGTCTCAGTATGTGACTTAGCAGTGCACATCCACGACCCTGCAAGCGGAAACCAAAGTCAGAACGCTTAGTGCTTCAAGATTTTGAATATTACCTAAATTAATAACAACTTACGACGAATACAACCTACGAATTGAAAAAAGTTCTTTAAAACAATACCTTCGAAAACATTAATATCTCCAAAATAAATTATCAGATTTACAAGCGTATAAACAATAAGATGAATATTGTAGTGAACGAGAATACAAGTGGATATAATCGAATGTATTTGAACACAAAATCACAGAACATTTTAGTAAAATCTGAGAACCACACAGTAAATACTCAATTTACAAAATGTCAATCAATTATCTCAGACTTCATTGTTCTTTCATTTCCACAACAGTCATTCTCTGTTCTCGTTCTCTTTTCTTCCATCTTCTTAAGCTTCTGCCTCTAGGCATTGCACTTCGACTGATGATACATACTACTTACATTTGTCGACATCAGTGGAACACAGTACAGTACTATGTTGATACACTAAAGTAGGTTGTAATGATAATTGCATACAAATTAAATAGTAGTAATAACAAACTGTATGAAACGATACTTACCGACAGGAGCAATATTACGCACAGCTTCAGTTAATTCATCTTTATCAAAGCATATATAACGACCATCAAGTTTTATGCCACGTACTAAATCATGGGATGGTAATAAATCTTTAACTGGATCAAAAGATCCATATGGATCTATAATTTTATAATAATCTCTATGAACACGTACAGTTTTATTATCTGAAGATGAAAGCCATATTGGAGAGGGGATACGTGTTGGATAAACTAAACAATATACTGAAACACCTAAAGTGAGATTTTTCGATGATCCAAGATGAAAAGGCAAACGAGCTAAACGTGATCGACGTAATTCATGTGAGTTAATACTAGAATAAACAAATAGGATTAAAAAAATTAATGAAATGATTAGAATACTTTTAGAATAACTCATTCAAAAAGGGATCATTTCATAGATATAAAAAAACAACGTTATTGCATAAAAGGTTCCATGGAATGTTATAGATTGTTATGTGCATTTATACATTTTACAAATAAAACGAAATTACTGAAATGCAAATAAATCGAGAAAAATTCCGAAATTGAACCAGTCTATGATCATCTAATCCAGAAGATACAGGTGTTTATTAACAGTTGTCAACGCAAAATACTTCGGATCCGTTGGCCGGACATTATTAGCAACAACGTACTGTTGCAAAAAAACAAACCAGATCCCAGCGGACGAAGAAATTAGGAAGAAGCGCTGGAAGTGGATAGGACAAACATTGCGGAAATCACCCAACTGCGTCACAAGACAAGCCCTCACATGGAATCCTCAAGGCCAAAGGAAAAGAGGAAGACCAAAGAATACATTAAGTCGGGAAATGGAGATAGACATGAGAAAAATGACCAAGAATTGGATGGAACTAGAAAAGAAGGCCCAGGATAGAGTGGGTTGGAGAATGCTGGTTGACGGCCTATGCTCCATTAGGAGTAACAGGCGTAAGTAAGTAAGTAATGGTCATCTAATACCTTGTTGATTGTTTGTTCAAAAATAACTTATTTCCATATGGAAATTTCTGAATAGTGGAGTTTAATCATTTAGAAATGTAGATAGATATCAATGATGAAACTGACTGTAATATCGTGCTACATTATGAACTGATCAAATTCAGGAAATGAAACCACTTGATTCCAATTCATACCTAGAATCGAAAGTTTAAAAAACGATTTTTTTCAGGGTTTTGACTTTTTATCAATAACGAGTATCAAATACTTGAATGGAACAATTATCCAATACTCTGGCTTTAAATGGTTCTCTAAATGACAGAAGTAAATGATAAAATCTTCCATCAAACTAAACTAATATCGGGAAACTAAGTAAATAATCAACCAAAATCTTAGGATACTTGGTATATGGTTTGAAGTGGAGTTCAAGATGAGCACTGTGAAAGTGGGAGGCAGTAGTCAATAAACTCAACATAGCCTAAGAACAGTAAATCGTACAATAATAAATTAGAGGTTAAAATAAAGCTTATAATAAGAGGAATATAAATATACATAATCTAATTATTGAATAGTTATACCATAAGAATGTATAGATAATATTAGTCAATTAATATGTCTCAGAAGTTACTCGTGATTTAATCTTCGCTCAAATATAACAGTTCTAGAGGCTGAATACTACATCACAAACTGATAATAGTTGAAAAATAATTAAAGACACCTCGGATAACTGTTTCTATATCGAAAATTATTGAAATCTTGTATAGTCAGATCCAATGGTGATCATTCCCTCGCTAACAAAAAAACAAGCAATGATAATCCGTGAATAAATCTACAGACTTTATAATTCCGATCAGTATCAAACTGAACTATAATAAACAAATGTTTCTATTACCTCTTCCAATACATTTGTTAAAAGAACCTTTAGACAAATCAATAATACAATCATTGAAAGTATCGAAATATCAAATTACCGGCTTAATAATTCATCAAGACGTTCAGTTGGATCAGGATGATAAGAAGATTTGTCTAGATCAGGATACATTAATTCATCTTTTAGTAACTCCTAATAAAAAAGAATATATGAAAAAACCTAATCAATTCATCAACTATATCCGAATATATTTAGATACGAAGTTGGAATTTATTAATAAATCTATTTATTAAGAGAAAGAGTATGAAATCAATCATAGTTATGTTGGGGAATAAATAAAACAAGATTTAAACAATTAAATGTAAAAGTGAATATCAAATGATCAGTCTGATGAAGTAAAACATTAAAAAGTAAACATAAGAGAATCAACAATTTTATGAATAGAATTTGTTGAATAGAAAAGTATATATGGTGGTGATTGAGGGTGGACAGTAGGAAACCCTGAACTTAGGTTTCGTGCTTTTTGACACATATTAGCAAGGTATACTTGTAATAACAGGTGTTCTTTGGAGGAGTTGGTCCCCTGTCATACAGCTTCACAGTCAGATAGGTTACAAATGATGTATCTGGGCAAAGACTAACCTCCTGTAGAACCAAGATACATTTACAAGTGATTGATTCCTAACCAATGTCATGTATCTAAAATCATTCTTAGGGTCGACTGAATACTATTGATTAAGTTAAAATGTGGCTACTAGCCTTATTGACTTGACAATTTGTGCAAGTCACATTTTAAGAATAGATAGATCGTAGAACAGAATGATTGGGACACGACTTATATGCTATACCAAGCTAATGTTATAGATGTTTGAAGACAATTAGTAAGAAACCTTATAGATCTGGATTTTTTTCTTTTTAATGTTCATCAGTCAAATGAGTCCAAAATTTGCAGAGAAGTTAGATTTTATTGGAGACTTGATGCTAACGATGATAATTACGGAAGTAATATTGGTTGACTTTCCAAATAATAACAATTGGAGAACCACGTAAGTAAATGTGATAATTATAAATCTATATGTGCATATAACACTTTGTAACATGGGATTATTATCGGAACACTAAACAAAGCTTTGAAGAATTTCTTTAACAAGCATTAAAAAGCATCTCTTGGACGTTGGCAACAGAGACTATTTATTCAATCAAAATTAAAAAACTGAACTAATTCTGAGTCTATAGCCTAATGATTGAATGAACGTTAGACGAATATACTATAGACTAAAAGTTTCTTAAGACTTGCTATTAATATGAATTAATGTGATAATTTCATGTGGAGATTTGTTTAATTTGTTAGAACATATTAGATTTGATATAATACAAGGTTACCAGTGATTCCCTATTAACTGAAGCAAATTCGTGACGAATACCACTTATATATAAAATGAATCTCCACAAAACCTATATATATATTTCATTAGAGTGTAAATTATATTTATGGAATGCTGAATCATATATAACTAGACGTTGATACAATAAACTGCACGCCAACTTAAAATACATGGTTTTCTACTTAATCTTGGATTAGTAAATGAATAACAAAGTGAGATCTTTATTGCTTAAATAAATATGTTTGGTCATAGCATACTACACTAACGACCTTGCGAAACTTACCAGTCAATGAGGAAACTCTGCACAATTATAAAACAACTAACAATGAAAACTAGTAAAATAACAGCTTTGATTTAAGTAATTAACCCTCATATGCCAAATTATTCCTGATAGTAAGAAAAAAAAATCACGTTTACATATTAGAAGTCAGGATAGTATTCTGAGTTAGGGTTAACACCCCATGGATTTATTATCAGCATTTGATATCTGTTATAATTTAAAAAGGTTAAGATAAGGTATTAATAGTAAGGCTGAAGTTTTGAACTGGGTTTACAAATTAGGGTCGAGGTTTTTATTACGATCTACCTCTACTAAACACTCCTGACTACTCATTGAATCACATTAACCACTTTAACACACTATTTGCCTTAGGAGCAGGTATGTTTTGTCATTCAAGTTAAGACCCAACTTAAATTTACATTTTGCTTGAGTAATAGATATTTCTATCGATTTCGCGAATTTTAAGAATCAATTATTGTCAATTTTCATCTAGCTTACAATAACATATAACTTATCTATCACTGCACCTTAAATTCAGCGCACAGTTATCTTAATTCTGATTGGTCAACTCAAGGCCGTCAGTATACTATACTTTTACCACGTACCTTTATACATGGTATAATTACCCGTTAAATGTGGAGATTTCTTTCTCTTTTCTTTAATATACTTAGAAAGTTTAAAAACATCATATTCTAAGATATTTTCTAAATATATCACCTGACAACTAAATTATAAAGTATCGAAAGAAATCCATCATTCATTAAAATGAAGATGTTTGAACGATGAAAAATTATTTTATTGACAATGTTATCATTTACTTAATAAGTTGTATGATCGTATTTACAGTTAATCTCATACATGTTATTGTCTATAATCAAATAAATGAATGTTGGTTGAGTCATTAAACAAAGTTAATCAACTGTTTTTTTTTCAAGTATCGAATATAATAAGTAAAATAGTTGAGATCATGAGTCAAATGAAGCTCAGTGGTCTAGTGGTTAAGCATTCGTGTGCGAGACTGATAGGTTCTGGGTTCAAATCTCGCCAGGCGGGATCATGGATACACACTTCTGAGGAGTCTCACAATAGGACGAAACGGTCGTCCAGTGCTTCCAGGTTTTCCATGGTGGTCTAGCTTCAATGGACTCACGATCACAACTATTAAAAATTACTATAATATCCACAAAAACCCCTTCTGATAATACGTAAAAAACAAAAAATAAGACATTATGAAACAAAGTAATGAAAACCTTTCATGTGATTGATTCCCACTGTTAATTTGAATAAAACGAAAATAAAAATCGATATAGGATGACATGAATTCATCATATATTTCATGCTTCCTCATCAGCTCCTTATATTCATATATATATTAAAGTGTAACATTGAGGTAAGATATAATATGCAACAATTGGCATTGATGATGGAAAGAATGAGAATAACAAAGTTTATCAATAATAAATATAATTACATCTGTGCATGAACAGGTTTGAGATCACTTGGAGATGGAATTTTAAAAAACATAGAGGAGGTTGTTGATATAATGTCGTATGTAGAGACCAGGTTTGAATTGATGTATTTAGATTCATTTGGATACTAATTCCTGATTCAAACTTCCATTGAGACGGTCAGTTAATTTTTTTGAAATAATCCTGAACGATGACCCTCACGAAAAGACACACACGTGAAACGTTGTGGCTCAACGCTTAGGAAATAAAACTGTATGTGTTATATTGTACTATACTTCTATACAAAGAGAGACCAGAACATAGTTGGATGGAGATCCCAGGTAGGCAGCCTATACCTCACAAGTAGTAACAAGTGTAAATAGTTAACTGCCGTACAAAGACATCAAGTGGAAGAATAAAAACTAATCGGACGAGATTTTGAAGATCTGGTCAACTAATTTAATAAAAGTACACGTAGAATTCACTGGGACATAAATAATCAAGAATGCTAAACCAATAAAGAAAATATACTTCATTCAGTAAATATGGAGAGTAAATATTAAAATATAACGGAATCCCTTAATTCTATCGATTTTTCACATCAAATTTTCACAGTTTGAATCATAAACTGATATTCGCTAAACAACCATTGAAAACTTTGAAGCAATTAACAACTGTTACGTCCTAGTGTAGGACTTCCCAGCAGTGTGAATCCTCTACGTTTAGACTACTGAGCCAACAGCCCATGGTATACACGGTTGGCTTTAATCAATTGATTGATATTGAACGATCATGTTCCATTGCTAGCGGTGCGTAACCGCCGTACACCCAACATGCTTGAACTCCATTGATCAAGAATTCTCACTAGAACACCGGGACTTCCAACTTGAAGATGGTCACTAATGAGCAGCACTTGACTAAATAACGAAATCATGGATGTGCATTGCTGAGTTTCATACTAAGAGGGAATAGCTATCCAGTTCTTTCCTTATTTTTTTTTAATAATCATCTAACTTAACATGGAACGTAAACTACAAAACAACTATATAAGTCAAAGTACAACTACAATACTTTATAGATGATTATTGACTTGTATGAATTAATTAATCCATATAGCATTATGAACTGTATGTTATAGTACATTAAACTAAGCGACATTCATTAACCATTGTGTAGTACATATTGACGATCAAATGATCCATTTATACAAGAAATTATCATGATTATAAAAATAATAAGGAATACAGTAGACACAAAGAAATGTACAGAGAAGATAATTTATCTTTTGTACTTACATCATAAAATAATTCATAATCAAATTTTGAATTTTGTTGTTTAATCGGAATAACTTCAAGTTCAATTCCATATTGTTTCATATCGGCCATCTTAGCAATTGCTCTACGCTATAATTAATGAACCATAATGAGGGGGAAAAATGAAATTAGTGGACTTAATGGTGAAAATGCCTTATTTTAAACAAAAATGAATTCATATACTATGTTAGTTACAGATTAATCTCAATTACGGTGCTATTAATAAACAGAATTCATTGAACAACTGTTAAGTCCTAGTATAAGTCTTCAAAGTTGTGCAGACGACCGAACCAGGAAATGAATCATAAGACCTTCAGGTTTTGTGATAAATTTTTAACAATTAGAATCGTTGGATCGGTGTCTATTGTGAAACATTTCCAATTTCAATCGAATTCCAGCAAAAAGCGAACATCGTACAATTTTTCAGTGATGATAATGGTTTCATCCTAGACACATCTGAACTCCATTCAAACTTCAGGGACATCGTGAAATAAATCGATAATGGGCTGACTATAATAGTTTAGTCGAACGGGTGGTAAGTGATTGGAAATGATACTCGAACTGAAATCAGCATATGACAAATACAATCTACGAAATGGATCAAACGTCATAGAAGCCCTTTAATTATAAATAGACTGAATAATTTTCCTAAAAGGTAAACGCTTAGTCCCCCTTAAAGAACATAAAGTTGATCTAAAAAACAGTTGGAAATTTTCTGCTTAAAATGAAAAAGTATTTCAACTATATATTTATTCTACGAATAACACTCTGATTGGTGTAAGAACTGTTTCTATTAATCTCATTAATACAGGCTGAAACTTCGAAAATAGATATAGCCACTTGCCGAAACAAACACAAGTATCGATTCCAGGTTAGTTGGATTTATTCATAAAAATAAGTTTAGCGTCCACATCTTTTGTAGTATGAAAATAAATCTTAAGATCCTTTTCAACTCGAATGAATCTCGGCTGTCATATCATTGGAAATCAGAAAAGTATCGGACAGCTCTTTCGTGGCGGTGTAATAAAATGAAAACTACGTTTGAAATGCAAAAACCTCCGTAATTAAATAATAGATACATATCCTCACTAGTGAAAAACTTTAATATGGTTTGTGATCGAAATTGTCGGCTATGACGAAACATAGATACAATTATTTCGAGAGTTGAAAGGTGTAACTCATCAATGATACCAAATGACGACTGTGATACACTAAAAATTAGGTTAACTTGAAAATAAAGACTGAGGGGTTTCTATCCAATGACCTAAAATTTTCAGAATGTCGTTAGTTTAATCCTGTCTGCCTGCACTACCAGGACAAAGCTACTAACCAGCATCCCCTGTTTTCTAGTGCTTTTTGAACTGAAGTTAGATGATTTAAAATCATACAAAATTTCTATCGACCCACATCACTCAGCATTTAAGGTTGTATACCAACCTCCGAAAAAAATTTAACACCTAGCAATATCCCTATAATTATATTACATTAAATGATTTATGAGTTTGAAGTATGTGGAACTAGTTCACACAACTGAAACTTGTACTAAACTGATATTTACAAGCCTTTTCTAAGTATTAACAAATAGAAAAATAATAACTATACACAGTTGAATACATCCAGATTCAGAACATTTCGGGGAATCGGCCTACAATTTTGATTGGAGTTATACAGTTGGCTATCTGTTCAACAACGTAGAATAACATGAAACCAATAATTAGGTTAGTAACTCTGAGACTTACAAATAACCAGTTTTAAAGAATCTAGTCAACATGTTGGTAGAACATTGCAATAAACGTTAATTTTGATCACAACTGATCGGTGGAACAAGATCAATTGGTCAGTAACGGAATAAAGCGATTAAGTGAAGTTCAGCACATATCACGAAACACTTTAGAACTTTTTTTAAACAAGAAGTTCACGGAAAAAGACGGTTTTTACTTTCAGCTCATCAACAAATCTTAAGCCACTCAATCAATTATTTAGTTATATGTGACATAGAACGCGACACACGTGTGCACCGGTTCGAGCTTCCATACCAAATAAGGACAGCAACATAAAATTACTTCAAGATAAATCACAGAGTCCTTACAGTGTCAGTAGTAGTAGTAAAATAGTTTAGATATAGAAAAAGAAGGTATAAGTAGATTTTAGGACTTATATTCTGAAGAAGGACAAGGAGTGAATACATCTAGACCATTGCGAATGATTCTGAGCCATGTCACACACAGTCTTAAACAACTGGTTACGATAACCACCCGAACCCCAAACAGGTGGTTTACAGCTATCAAAATGGCTCAGTTAGATTATTAATAACTTTATAAACACGTTCCACTTCTTGATTTAGCTGCTCTTAGCTTTCTTTCAACCCACTCCTACACCAGAAAACATTTCCCGTCAATGTAGGTAGTATTGACTATGTTACGTTCTATATCTTATACCAAATAATAATCGCCAAAAACGATATTATGATATTCAAAAGATATGAACAAAGCATGCGTAATGTAAACTCCGCTTATTACAAACTAATTTCTTTTATAACATAAACATTGATTTGACAAATAACGGTGTTGACAATTTAATAACCATGACTGAATAAAGCAAAAAATTACAAAAGGCCTACAACACTGACTTTCAAATTTGCATTTTTATTTACTGGATCAGGATCGTCAGTTAACAAAAAGATGTGCTTGACACCAAATGTTTTTGAACTAAAAAAAAAGATAAAATTGAATTAAGAAGGTTGTTATATATATATATATATATATATATATATATATATATATATATCACGTTATGATAGTCAGCATTAATTAGTGTAGTAGACTGGTCGGCGGCCTATGCTCCATTGGGAGTAACAGGCGTAAGTAAATAAGTAAGACTGGCACAAACAAACATCAACTTAATTGCCGCAACATATACAAATACGGTAAGATGAAATTAGCAAGATCAACAAAAAAAGAGTTCAGATAATAGTACAAATGATGAAAAGATGAAAGACTGAACATACGAAGAAATAGTATTGAGCGCTAAAATCTAGGGGAAGATAAATAATGAATAAACGGCCACCAGTCAATCAGTTCAAGGGCTAATGTTATATCTTGTTTTAACAACTTTTAACTTTCTTTCAACCTATTTTTAGGTTAGTCAATAGTGGGTCTCAAAGTAGACGATAGTCGGGTACAGATTATATGTGTTTCAGTTATCTTACACGATAAAGATTCACATCATAATCAATTGATTAATTATTTTTATCTAAACCATACACCTAATCTCGATCAAACTTCCGGCATACTGGTAAATAACCATAAAATTTTAATAACACTGACTCAAGGACTGATAATCACTTCATCTCCTTAGAATAAAGGAGACTGACAGTGTCTACAAGATTGCAGATACAGTTTATTGAACACCAAACAGCTGGAAATCTAGGTCGAATGCTTCCTGTAAAATTGCTTTCAACAACATAGCATCACCAAATAAACCACATCATGATAACAAATCACTAAACGTAGTGGCTATATTGTAACAAGATAGGTAGGATTGGATCAAAATGTGGTGGAGATTGACAAAAGATATTTTAAAACTTAAATTGCTGATTGAAGTCGCCAGAGGATAACTGCTCAAGATAGAATTCCAACAAACAGTTTACAAATAAATCAAGTGTCCTATTAAACAAAATTTAAATGTTAAATTAGTGTGGCATCTGAGTATTAACAGATATCCGTGCTAGTTATTTTAGCTTAATATTTTCACCTAAATGATAAAAGCAGCGGCTGCCAAAATGAACAATTAGACTAACTGCTATAGTTTAGATTGAGAAATAAAACTTCAAATAAATTCGCTGTGGTTCAAAATCTCAAATACTCGTAGATACAGAGCAGTTATTATGTTATGATTTGACTGGTATAAAATCCCTGTAGAATTAAATTAAGTACTCCGACTGGTCAGTAATGTATCAATCGTGTTACACTATTGAACCGTTTGTACTGATCATAACCAGTTTATCATATGTTGAATGCAAACACTAGACTACATTAGTCATTATTGTGTAGAGTAAATACGGCAGAATCTTAGAGATATAGGCAGTGATTTTAAAAAAATCGACCTATACAGCCGAACTTTAATTCCATTGAAAAGTGATTAATGTACAAAACTCACAGACTTCAATGAAATATAGTTATGTTTATTTCTGCATCCGATATTGCTACTTTTACTGGAAGAAAAAAGTACTCGGGCAACCAGTTGTTTCGTCTTTGAACTGAGTCTATTTGGGAAAAACTTACGTTAATGACTAAATCTTGTAAATAGCTATCAATTTTTAATAGAGTATCCGTGCATAACATTCACTGATCACCATTCTACTCATTAATTTAACAATCCAAAATGTGCATGACCATAATGTAGAAGCGCATTGATGAGGAGCCCCATACTGGGTTGGAACGGCTTTTCAGTGCTTCCAGGTTCTCAATCGTGGTCTAACTTAGATCGAATCACGATTTTAATGGAATTCAACAATCTCCAGAACCCCTTACTGACAACGAAAAAATAATCTACGAAACTTACCAGGTGATAAATTGATTTTGACAAACCCACAATGCTTCGTGTAGAGGAAAAGTAATATTAGGTTGATTTACAATAGTACCATATCGTTTCTCCAATTCATCGGGTTTTAACTGCCTCAACTTTTCAATTTCTAATATACGTGTAGAATCAGCCAAACCTAAAGGCTAAATGAATATATATATATATTACAGAACCAATTTAAAGTTAAATAAAAAGGAATATGGTCAATTTAGTTCAATTCATTATATGAATAAACTGTATATAATCGACATAAATCCATGTTTTTTGACTTATCTCTGTGAAGGCTAGCGGCACTATCCGAGTGCTTGGACTGAAATATGTGGGGCGAAGCTCAAACTTGTGAAATAAAGTTTGAAAGTCGGATATCTTAACTATTAGGCACTCATTTTATCATAAGGATAGACAGGTATGTATTGCCTTTATACTTCTGAAGTTGAATATAACGTCAAACTCTCATGCAGACAACAATATAGTCAAATAAACATAGGTTTCATTTGAACATCTTTTAGTGATAGATATTCAATAAGGATAACTGATCTTAAAATGCTTTGTAGTAGAACTGTCGAGTGTTCTGATAACATTATGGAAGTATTCACATTATATGGTACCAAGGTTTGTTAAGCCCAATACGTAAAACAGATCTTTATACTTTTTAAACAATGAAACAGATATGAAATTAAGCAAACGATAATAGTGAGGCTTATCAACTGAACTAGTTGTGCAATCTATGTGAAATATTTGAAATTCGTTTTGAATCTATACGTAGTCGCAATGAGTACTTGTTTTAAGCCTTCCTCTTAGTAAACGTCTAGTGCCTAAAAACTCATCAGGAATAAGTTCTTTTTCTAAAATGATTGGTGACTCTCAAATGATACAGATGTCTTATCATACTACAAGGTATTGCGCAACACATTTTTTTAGAAAACAAACTGAATAGATTGAATTATTAAAATCGCCTGATGAAGTATATAGAAAATAATCAAGTTTCTATCTAACTTTATAAAGAAGTTTCACACCATACTTAACATCCTGGATCGAAATTTCCTACCAGTATACAGCTTCTATCTAGGACAACGTTCACGCTTGCTAGTAATTGATAAGATAGTTACCCAGAATTAAATAACGACAGAACCGAGATAATTATAATTGGAACTATAATAACCCAAATATGCCAACACAACTGAATAATGTTCTATCAGATTACAACATAATCACCAAGAAACTAGGGATGTTTAATTTTATTAATGCAGAAAATATTTTCCATTTCGTAATGTTTCCTTTCGCGCTCTTCAATATAACCATCACGATGTAAATTTACTAACTCCACTTTTCTTGTGAAGTTTATTATATTTGGCGTACAATGTGACCTATCCACCATCAACTTTCCAATCACTAATTTAGTTGACTGACAATAAAAGCCAATAAAAACCAACTTTGTATATATTACAGAATACATATGATGCTTACCCAGTTAGCTAAACCCCATGGAAAGTTCAAATATTCAATCTAATGACTTAATCTCTCATGTTATAACCACTAAGCGCTTTAAATAAATGCTAATTTCAGTAGAATAATACTGAAGTTACATAAATCCCGGCAACAACTTAAGCTAGAGAATGATGTTCTTTAGAAAGTACAAATCTAAAAAAAAACTTCCTGAATTAAGAAAAGTATTCAATTCTATATATATTCGATCAACAATAGAAACGAATGTACAAGTATTGATTTTTGCCAAGTCAAAAATTCAACCTAAATCGTAGATATTTTCAAACTATATTAAACGATTATTAACACATAAAGCATGTGGGCTTTTTCGCAATTTTTCTGACATTTCTTTCTTTTTTTTAATAAGTGAAAATACATTTGTACGATGTATATGACATCTGATACCTGATGTATCCTTTGGCGTGTTTTAAATTATCGAGGACAAGGGTGATTACAATGTGTTAATGCAGTGTTACTATTTTCGGTATACATAAAGTATGAGTACTTTGATGTCTAATGTGATTTCTTTTTGATTCACGAATATCTTCAACAGAAATCCAACAAAAACTTTAGCTACTAAAAAAAGCAGTTGATTTGTAAATACTTTAGTAGTTTGTGTTCAGTGGCAAGCTGGATTAGTTTAATGTGCCAATGAAAAACGGTACATTTTTAAGTAATATAGCATAATGGAACTTGAAGAACTCTGTATCACTGAGTTATGACACTCAGTTATATTATATTGTAGCTCTCAGTAGTTAGTAATATTATCATAAAGTTGTCAAGCATCAATTATACTGTTCTATTGATAATGATCGCTGTATATACATTAAATGAAATGGAAATGTACTATTTATTCATCTAATTTAGTCCTTATAGAGGATTTAAAAATAGTTTAAACCGGTTTTGAAGCATTACTTTATATCTTGATGATGTGAAGTTTGCTTAATCAGTTAATCAATCGTGAACACCATCGAAGTTGAAACACATGAATACTGATCTATATTATTATATTTCAACATTAACATAGAGATGAGAAATTGGACAAAATGGTAATCGAAAAAGTCGAATCAATAAAAATTACAACCAATATACAAAAATAATAAACATAGTGAATATAGCCCGTAAAAGACACAATTAAATGGACGAACAGAAACTATGAAAAGCATTATTGAAACTCAGGAATTAAGGTAAATAATGAAGTGACTACATCAATATCATTATGACAGATTTGAATAGATGCCATCTAAAAGTACCAACTAGAGATTATGGATACTGCGAATACATGAACTACCACGACTGATATCAGTGACCTCATGAAATGATGGAATTGTGTGGTCTGATACAATCAACCTTCTTACAACTTCATCTCATACGATACAAAGTTTTTATTAGACAGTAATTGCTTAATAAAAGCATTCAAAGTCATATATTTTGTTAGTTCACACTTCACAGGATTCTAAGGATCTATCCAAAAGCCCAAAAACATTCATTATACTAATATATCTCACAAATTGTCGCCTGATCAGATGTGACTACAATCTTGGATTGTTATGAAATATATCCAAGTTATTCATAACTAATCCGAAATGGTTAACTACAGTCCGCAACGATTTCGACAATTTATACTTCCATGTTTATTGGAACATCATTTTAACACAGAGAATGCAATGTATTGCTAATCCAAATGATTTAAACAACGAGGAGAGATATCGGTATAAGGTTGTGGAGAATAATGAATTTTATTGAAATCACGAATCAATGTAAGTTTGATAATAATTGGAAACCTAAAAGCAATGAACAGTCGTATGGGATTCCCCACAACCGGGAATCAGGCCCAAGACCTACAGTATCCTGACATTTTATCAAGAAGTTGGCATTATGATAAAACAAACTGATTATGTTCATGATCAAAAATATGGAAAATAAAAGATTATGGAAAGAGATGTGAACGATTGTCACCAATCCAAATTAGTATCATACTATTTAATTAATATGGAAAATTAGTTAAGGAGAACTTTTAACTAACCTGTAAAACCATAATATTCTTCATGTCAACAGATGACTCATTCTTTAAAAGAGAGATAAAAGACAATAATATGATATTCCTTTCTAATATGGAACTCATCAGAAGTACACATCAACGAATATAATAAGGATGAAAGCCAAGTATCATCAGAACCCACGACGAGTTCTTGAATTTCGGACTAATGCTTTACCATTCCAACTTCAGTCGATTTGCGCGTTTGTCTAACTATCATCCATTGCAATTGGTGATGTTCATCTTACATTCTACATTAATCATAGTTTCTCACCAAAACTCCTGGAATTAACACTTGAGGTTAATCACTAGTCAACACATGATGATTGCTTTTACAGATAATTGCGGAAATTCTTGGATTCGAAGTTTTACATTACAAATTGAATCTAATTAAAAACCAGGAAACACTGGACGGCTGTTTCGTCCTGTTAAGGGACTCCGTAGCGGTACACAATCATGACTCCACACCAGTCATTGGAGCCAAGACCTTAAAATCTCGAGGTGAATACTTAATCGCGAAGACCATATAGTTTATATGCCGTTTATTTATTTAAAATGATGAGATACTTCTTAAACATAAAATAAACTGACAATTTATTTAAAGAGGTATATTTAATTGAAATTTACATACATCAGTGGGTGATATGAAACAAAACAATTTCATTAAGGAGTGATGTCAGATGGTGAACTATTGAAAATTAAGAAGCACTTTAGATAAACGTTGTCATGTAAGGAGAAAAACCAATGAAAAGAAAAAGATCAAAACATTTCGATTAAATAAGATAGTACAACTAAACGTTAGTAACAATAAGGCTTACTGTACGCATTAAAACAAGCCCGATCATATCAAAAGGACTATGAAGTGCTTTATTCTGTTGAAATGTTTGACAACATAACAGACTTAAATCAAATCCACTTTTTACTGATGATGAATCCACTGCATTACTACTATTTAAATCGAATGAACCATGTAATCCAAGCATTGTCGGCGTACAATCAATTAAAAATATTACACCAGAACGCATGTCTTGTAGCTAGATAAAAATAAAAATAACAATTTACAATTTAAAGTCTATACAGATAACAAACAGGCTATTATTTAATGTTGTATGATTAGGGGCCAAATAGTTAAAAACCAATCAATAATCCACGTTTGTAAGCACCTAACAGGAAAGAAGTATTCAGGGAATAACTTATTTCTTGGAAAAAAAAGCCTAGGTACTTGGCTTTCAGCTAAACTGTTCGAGTAAGTAATTATGTTGATATTAACGCAAAAGGTTTTGTATAAATTGGTTAATTTCGTAGTTTATATCACGAAATGGTTTAGTTGGATAATCATTGAGAACCAAGAATCATTGGACAGCTGTTTAGTCCTAGTATTGAATTTCCCAACAGTGAGTATTCATATGCCCTATCAGGGATAGAATCCAAGACCATGAACACTGGTTCGACAACCAACGACTATCATTTCTAAATTTGATCAGTTCACGATGCTGTACAACCATCTTCCGAAGCAGCTAAGTAGTCCTATACTAAGATGAAGAAACTGTATTGTGTTTCCTGGCTTTCAACAGTTGTCTAAAGGCAGTTCATGATGTAATCTAGAAAAATAGTGATACAACCTGGGTGCTACTAGCAACCGTTGTTGCTACCTTGACGTGGTGGTCGGGCTTGCCTATCGTGATAAAGCAACCGAGCTATACTGGCTGGAACAACCGTTCCTCAAGGTCCTACTATGTCAGACAGGTCGGTTGAAGAGCGGTAAGACTAAAAGCAACAAACCCAAGGTCTGAAGGCGAAGTCGTACTGCTGACTGTACAGAGGTGTGGCAGCAGTAAGGTGTTTCCTTCAGAAAACCAGCATGACAGCGATGCTGCCTTTCCACAAGGAGGGGTGGAGTTAGAAAAGGTCGACCCTAAAAATGCACACCTCGCCTTATCCCACGGATATCCGTCTCCGGCGGTAAGGTCTCAATAACTACGGAGCTAACACAAAAATTACCCATAACAAGGTCGTGTGTGAGCGACCTCAAGCAGTTGTCCCTTGGGTACTGCGATCACGCTCTCAGGTCACTAAGACCACCTTTAATCCAATTTCCTTTTCAGGTACCTCCAGAACAACCCTCCCACGGTGTGGGCAGGCAACCGGGAAGTGATAACCGCCCTCATACTTCTAACAGCTACTACCAACATGGGTGAAACAGAATCTGAACCCTATTCCTTACCAATCAAAGTCAAATACTTGAATCACTGAGCCACTATTTTACAAGAAGCATCTAAATCCTCAAAACATTAGTACAACACTTTCTGATGTTAGTCTAATATGATAGTCCCAATTTTGAGGCCTCACCTAGTTGTGCTGACATACTTAGAAACTCATTATCAAAGTAAAGTCACCACTGTAGTTTTGATAACATGAAACTCATTAATTTGTTGGAAGGTCGGGGATAGTCAACGGAAAACCCTGGGCATCGATTTCGTCCTAGTTGACACACCACAGCCACGGGTGCCTGTAATCTTTATAGGACTGATTCTTTCACAAGTCAACTGAGGCTAGTTAATCTAGATATGGATTCTAACATTTATAAGTGACAATATGTTATATAACCGTTCAACAAGTGATATCTATCGTAATTCTTTAACTGAGTTGGTACAGTTGGAAATCTGATCAATGTTAGGTTTGGGTGTTGATAAGAACATTCTACACCAGGATTCAAATACATTGGCCCCGAATGCTCTGGTACGACCGGGAGTGGGGTGAGTCAGCTCTCACTCTCCAAATGCTTTCACATGGTCACGTGCAAACAACCACTGCCACAGAAGTCCTACTCACTGCCTTCTCGAGACATTACCGTTGTTTACGAAATTAAGAGGACGAAAAGTGGATGTCCGGAGCTTGAACGGGGTTGGTGGGTATGGATGATCCACATAGGGGAGTAGGAAAATCCTGATTCCAAACCAATGATGCACATGGGTTTCAGGATCCTGAAGAAGCAAATGGCCTATGAACCAATTATTAATCACCGGTTACCATGAGACCACATCACCTAAAGCTGCTCCACTGTCTTGTGGACTAGATCTTCAGGTCAAAGGCTCTGGGTGTGACCCTTAAGAAAACCAGGTGCTTCGGTTTAGGCACCGGTTAGTATCTCAGCCGTCACACAAAGCATTTGATTTATGTGGCGAATATGTATTTGGTGCCTCCTTGTACCAATGTTTATGCGTTTAAATAATAAATAATAATGCAAATACATTCATATAAAAAGCCGCAAATAGAACAATGTTCTTGTCCTAAATAACACTCTGTTAGCTACTTTCCAAAACACAACCATACCTGTCCATTTAAACTGACTCTTTTAATCATAAATCATACCTTATAATAGATTATGATGAATCAATATTCAAGAATTTTGAACCAAATACCCTACGGTGGAATTTACAAAGATTTCTTTATTTAAATATTACTTTATTTAATGTTCCTCAAATATATGAATAAGTATAAGGAAATAGTAAAAAAAAATTTATATCTCACAGGTTTACTATTCTGTTCTTGTTCATTATCTTCATTGTCCAGAAACTCTCCAAAATAATTGTCAATACTGGTCATATTAATACTAAAGTAAGACAATCAGGATTTTAATAATAATAATAATATCAAAAAAAGTGGAAAAAATGTGATTGTGGCTACTAATAGAATTCTAAAGGTACATTTATAATAATTTGTGACTTAACAACTGAATCTATTCATATAGGGTATTAAACACTTTAAACACCAACTCATTTTTCAGCAGATGATAAGTCGAGACAGGTGAACGTAAAGATAGATTGTTAAGAAATAAGTGGCTAAGATATAAATCAGTAATTAAGATTGTTGATCGAAGTAGAAATTTTTCTACTTTATACTTTGATTTAAACTGCTATGACATTAGAATAATCTTAGTGCACAGTTTATTCTGCCGTCACCATAAAATATTCTTTATTGTAATTTCACATCAATTAGAAATGAATGTGAAGAATAATCTTTTTTGCTATGCAATGATACTTAGTAATCACAGGTCACGTGCTATCGTCTAACGTTTCCAGAACTCGGACTAATGGACTAGGTCATGTCAATGACTTAATCATCATTGTGATCTAGATTGAGATATTTTGCGGACCGTAAAGTAAGAGTGATAATTTCCGCAGATTCTAGGTGTATAGCATTTTGACATTGTCTTCTGAACTTTTTAAAATACATTTTCATTTACTATAGAAACTATTATTGTCAAATCTTCCAGTTCGACACACTGTGTTATGGTTTTCAACAGAAAATATTAAACTACTGTTTTAGTTTCTACCGTATAACACGATAGAAGAGCTCCTCGAAATGTATGAACTAAATGGGTGGATGTGATTGAGATTAAATCTCGGATCTAAATATCATGCTAGTTGACGCTCAACATATCAACAGTCTTCGGGAAAATGCACTTCCCTATGGTATTCAAACCAATTTGTTCGCAGCTGCTGAGTTGTCTTGAAGGTCGGCCTTGCGTATAGTAATGATCCAACCGAGCAGTGTTGGGTAGAAGATTGGTTGCTTTGGACTCAACCATTCTAAGCAGGTCGTTTGAGGAACGGAAAGACTAAAAATAAGGAAGTAATGATCCGAGAACGGAATTGTACTATTGACTGTACAAAGGTGTAACGCCTAAAAACTAGCATCTGCAGCGGCGCTACTTTCCCACAACGAAAGGGGGGTAAAGGCTGTCGACTCTGAAAATACCACACCTCAACTTTATCCCACAGATTCCTGTCACCGATGGCAGGGCCTTTTAAGTATGAAGCCACCTCATTTAAAAATAATTACTAAAAAGCCCTAAGTAATCATCTCTTGGGTTCTGCAGTCCCGCTCTCAGATTGCTAGGACCACCACTAATCCAGTTTACTTTGCAGGGACCCCAAGAACTGTCCTCCTATGGGCGACCAGGAAGTGATAACCGCCTACGCGCTACTAATAACACTAGAGATCATCTCACTCAAGATTCAAACCCATTAACATCCAGCACTAAAGTACATCACCACTAAGCTATTCAGGATACATGCATGGGCACAGATGTATACAAAAATAATTTTAAAAATGTACATTCACAAAAAAAACGAAATAACACGAAGTTAATTATTTACTTATTTATTTCGAAGTGAAAAAAATGAACAGAAAAGAGAACACAGAATTATGCATTTTCACAAGTTTTATAAGTGTTTTAAAAACCAATTTACGCAATTCACAAAAACGTCTAATGAACATGCTGGAGAATCCAACGGATGTGAATCATATGGATAGAGTAGTATTTCACATGGTACAGTTGGACATAAGGCTTTCAACTTTCGACAGAATGTTAATCCCTAAAATTAAAATAAACGAGTAAATAATGAGAGAGAAAAATATCATTGTGATAAAGATGTATCGAGTGATGACAATTTACACTAAAATAGCTAACTATTAAACAATCTCTTTTTAGCATAAGGAGATTTGTGGAGATTAGAAAACTTCAAAAGGTTAAATCACGAACTAATTCAAATTAGACAACTGGAAACCTGGAAGCGCTGAACGCCCGTTTCGTTCTAGCACGAGACTTCTCGTTAGTGCGTGTTCACGATCGCACTTGAAGGACTCAAACCTAGGACCTTTAAACTCGAGCGCGAACGCTTAACATATAGACCACTGATCATGCATCCAATGGTGCTTATATATTACCTGGTGCTAATATCTAACCTGAATCAACCCATAAAAATGCGCAACCATCTTCCATTGTCTCCAGTGGGTAATTGCCTCATACTCGATATGGTTGAACTTCATTGGTCAAAGCTTCTCACTAAATCTCCAGGAGTCGTATCTTGCATTTAGTCACTAGTGAGCAAATAATCATCATTAGTATAGGGGGATTTGTGGAAACTGTAGGATTTCCAAAGTTCCAATCACGAAATCATCTTAGCTAGATCAACATTGATAGCCTGGAAGCACTGGGTTGTGGACACTCAGTAAATATTATAACTTGCAATTTAAAACTACTAACCTGACTATTTGGTACACGACGATCTTTCCCACCTAACAACATTAACAAAGGCACAGACCATGTTTTATCTAAATATTTCAAAGGAGATTGATTCGACAAACGCATTAATTCATTGTCATTCGGTAAATGACCAAGAGGCCATTCACACCAATCTGCTAAACCTGATTCAGTATAACACCAATCCGGTATATCAGATGTATCAATAAGACTGACTAAATGAGCCACTGGATTACGAGCTGTAGCTACATGATATAAATTTTTATATCGTGAGGCTAAATGTAACGTTAAGAAGCCTCCATGTGAACCACCAAATAAAGCTGCTTTCAAGTTGGACCCGAATTTCTGCAAATAATTCAATGCAAATTTTGTAGCCTAAAAAGAGAAATGAGAGAAAAGAGAGAGAGAAGAGGAGATATGAGGTAAAAATTAAAAGACTACACTACAAGAATGGTGAATAGATTATTTTACCATTACAATTGATTAATAAAATAATGAATCAACTGATAATAGGTTGGACAGAATAAACAGATAAAGTGGCTCAGAAGTAAAACAGAAAACTGTAAATGAAATCAATGAATATCAAATGACAATACAACTTAGTTGACTGACTTCTAGTTACATTCTCGTTAATTGTATGAAAGTATTATTCATATTTCATACAAAATAAAAAGACTATAGGTGATCTACTAGATCATAAGTAAGAATAAAATTCACCAGGACACCAAGAATAGCTTATACTGTTGACTATTTATTACACAAGACAAATTAAAATAGGGACAACTTGTGAGATTTGTGTAATATAACTGTGTTACTCATAAGTAACTATATTTTCAATATACAATATTTTGTCCGAATTTCATTGGTTAATCGCAAACCGTTCTCTGATTGCCCGATATATTTTTATATGTCCAGACATAAAACTGGACATCTATGCACAAAGTGAACAGATATTGTTGCTGATTTTTGTGGAGTTCCATTCTCTGAAGCTGGAAACTTTACCAAAATCATCCACCTGAGCTACAAATCTCTACCATCCCAATTATTGCTGAGGTTGCCAACTTTCAGGAGTTTTTTTTTCAACATAAGCTAACTATTATTATAGTATTATTATGATGTCATAGTATTATTGAAACCATTACTGTTTATTGTTAATAAATAGGCATTTATGTAGAGATAGGTATATATAAGTAGGTATGTATATAGGTGCAAAAGTAGAATGAGAAAAAGTAATTAAGGACATACAATATGAATGCTGCTTATTTATCGCAATAATTAATAACTGATATAACGGGATAAAAAGATAAAATTATTGAGGCCAATATATTTTGGGCCAATTCGTTGTGAATTTCGACCACAGTGACAGGCATGAGCTTCATTCAGGTGTGACGCTTTAAGGTCAATATCTTCTTCGTTCAATGTGATATGTGTGAACTTTCGTTTAGTCTGACAAATATATTCCCTGTATCAGCTCTTAATTACTTACTTACTTACGCCTGCTACCCCTCGTGAAGCATAAGCCGCCCACCAGCATTCACTATCCTACTATGTCCTGGATAAGCCTTTACAGTTTTTCCTGATAGCTATCCATCCTTTCGATGTCTGGCTCCAATTCGCGATGCAATGAGCTCTATAGTCTGCCTATTACCTTTTGCATTCAGGATTCAGTCATGGTTTGCCTCGTGATGTAGATATTTATAGATATATATATAAGATATATATATAGATATTTGAAATATTCACGGATTCAAATATGATCGATCCGTTTCTGTGTAGTGTGATCCGGTGAGACCCATGTAGCTTTGTTCATGTGTTTGTGGAGGAATATTGTGTCACCTATAACCATTTTGTTGAATGCACATATATTCGCAAATCTCTCTCCATTCTCATCCGTTTCTCTTAGTCAGTCCATGTCGTTCCATGATATCTTCATAACCGTTGTTGTCCATTCTGACTTTAGAGCTTAAGTCTGCGATCAGGATGGTCAGGTTCTTTCCTGTGCATTTCACTATAGTAGATTGCAGCTCAAGCTTGGAACCGGCAGTAACCCCAGAAGAGCTACAGGCGGAGTGAACAGCTCAGGTGAACTATATTCAGTAACTTGATGTATTTATCCCTGTGTGACATTATTGTGTACAAAAATTAGAGCATAAATGGTTATATTTTGATTTCACAGAGACGTGATTTTTGGACTCTTTTGGGGACGCGTTTATGTAGAGCCAATTTATCTACACTTCACTAGTTTTTCATGTTCTCACTTTTCGTCACCCTTTCCGAATGTCAAGTAAAAGCAATCAGACGGTAGACATTAACAAGGGCGAAATCTCAGGACATAACAATAACAAACATTACCAGATGGAAAATTCGATAAAAGCTACCGTTTTGGATTTGATATCACTTTTTTGTAACTGTCAGAAAAGAAACTTGGGACAGACAATCGGGAAACAGTCAGGATCACTTAGATATCATTTCGATATCACTGTATCAGATATAATTTGTACATAGAGAGGAATTGTCGTCGTTCAAACACTGACTCTGTGACACAGAGTCCGTCTTTCGAATAAT